CAACCTGTAGATCTTGACCTAAGACTGACTTACATAAACCAACTCATGGTGGCTCCTAACCCAACGTTTTTTGCTATTTTAACCTTGCCAAACTTTTTGATCCAATAAACTTTTTCGGCCTTAACTATAGGTCAATACCAAACCCAATAAATTAGGCCAAATTGATAATCCTACGTATATGCTAGATTTTTAAGATATAAGAAAGAATTCCTTTGAGTAAAATTCTTATTCAATCATTAAGAATAAATGAAAAGTAGTTAAAAGAAGAGAAAAGGTAAACTTTACCAAAATCGTTCTATCAAATGTTTTAGTCAAGGTTAAGCTATATACTTCCGTATCAATAATATTAAAGAAGTTTCAACTGTAATTAAATATAATAAAATGTTGTTATAAATTTTAGGTAGGATAAGTTTTTAGCAAACACGTCATATGTGATCCACATGCATGCATTTGGTTCATGTCGACATAATTGACCCTATTATTGTTATTATATTTGGACAAGCAGACCTTGAGCACACTCATTGTAGGACTCATCCCTTTCTAGGTTCGTTTTTCTTACCCCAATCAATGAGGTCATTCTGTCATTATCTACTGTTGAAGCTTTTGAGTCATCAAAGTCCACTAATTGCGTATTGCCTTTTCCAATTCTTATCTTTTGGAATCTACTTATAATCACATTATACATGATATTTTATAGAATAGTATAATTTATTATTTTGTAATATTTTTTACTGTTACTCAGTTTATGAAATCCATCACAATATTATTTTGTAATATTATGTTAAGATCATTATCGATGTTTGAGAAGATGGGACCAGAGGAATATCCTTGAACAGAAAAGCAAACACAAGTGAACAAAGTCATACAATACAACACTATTTTGAATAGGAGATGGTGGTTGATTTCTTCACATCACCGTCCCATTTTCTATAGCATCTTCGTGGAATCGACTTTTGTCTGATCTTGTGGTACAAACTTTAAGAAATAGCAATTGGATGGTTCATTTGATTTTTCTAAGGATCATGTTCAATCCTAAAAGTTAACACTAAAACATAACATAATATAATCTAAATATTAATATATATATATATATATATATATATATATATATATATATATATATATATATATATATATATATATATATATATATATATATATATGTTTCTAGGAAAAGTATAGTTAAACAAATTTAGCGTATAATATACTCGTTCCTTACATAATTAGTCCGATACCTTTTTTCAGTAAGGGCCCCCTATTTTTTTTTTTTTTTGTTTTTCCATATTTTGACTAGAAACTTAATTTTAATTTATTATTTAAATAAAAAATATCCCAATTTGTTGAGATAATGTTTTCTTAATAAATTTTGAAATTTTAAATAAAATATACGTATTGTTATTGAAATATTATGTATTACAGTTTTCCAGTTTTACAATTTTAATAATTGTTGCTGAAAAAAATTATTGTGAATTGCTGCAAAACACATATGTAAAGTTCATGTCTTCTACTCATTTCTTAGCAACTCTTTTCATCATTTTGAATCTAAAGTTCAGTTTGACTTGGAAAGAAATAGAATATCTTATTTAAAATAATAAATCTATTGCAACTTTAATATTATTACAAAAAAAGTTATTTTTCGACAGATAATTACTGACAGACAATATTATATCGGTAAATTGAATTTATGGATGGATTTATTGAAAGATTTGGTAATGATTCCTTATCGATGGATATATTCGTTGGTAATGGTATAGGTAAGTTATTGGCGAATATATCCACCGATAATACCGTATACTGTCGATAAATGTTATAAATCATTATCGAGAGAATATGACCGTTGGTATGTGCATCGAGTATATGAAATCAGAAATTGAGATTTTCCTCTCCCAATTTCAATTTGACAAATATCCTTCTTTTCCGATATTCAGAACTTCTCCTCCGTAGTCTCCTTCCTTCGTTCACTACCCCCGACCTTAACCATCATCGTGATTCAGTCTTTACTACTTCTCCATTGCAGTTGAAGTCTGACATTCCCATTCTTGATTTCTTTTCCTCCTAATCGTAATGTTTTCCTTTCTCCATTACACCTCTGTCGTGGAATGAAAGTGCACATGAGGAAGCTGGTGGTTGACGTAAGAGCTTCCATTCTCGTGAGGAAGGCTATTCGAAGGGGTTGCGTGATGAGGGTGTTGCCAATGAGTATAACAACCTTGGAAACCACAACATTCAAAGATAGAGTTTTTTTCAAGCGTTTAGCAATAGTACTGCAGCGTTTAAGAAAGTCAACTCTTAAGGAAAATAACATGTGATGACAAGAGCATTTATCAATGGTTAACTTTGTAAGCAATTGCAGTGTTTATAAATAAGGTATTTTGTAAAGCTAAAACAATAAACACACAATTATTTTATATTTTTTCACTCAATTGAGCTATGTCCATATCTTCTCTAAGAACTCTTAAAGGGTTCCATTATAATCTCGACAAGATTACATGATCATTTTAATGTTATATTCAAATGAGCATTTTAATGTGTGTTTTATGTTGGCATTAGTTCTTTATTTTGTTTGTTATTTAGCTTTTGAACTCCAACGAACAAAGTTCCTTAATTCTTCTTACAAATTTGTCTATTTTTTTTCATCAAATCATATGTACAAGACATAAGACCAAGCATATAATACGAAGTTCATCAAATAGTCTAAAGAATAAGAATGGTTTTAATATGAAAAATGATAAGCGGTGTGTGTTTACATGTGTGTATGTGTGCAAACCTTCTAATATGTGTTTTATGCTTGTTGAAATGCACCCATGAATTTTCTTATTACCATATGGTGTAACCATTATTCTTTGTTTATGCTTATTTTGCTCAATAAAGTCACAATAACAAAGGTTAATGAAAGGTAAAACGAAAAACATCAATGGTGACAATAATCATTCATGTGTTAATGTTCTTATTGGGGAAATGTTTTAAATAGAAGTTTATATCTTACAATTTTTATATTAAAACATAAATAAGGAATCAAAAGAAATGTGATATGCCTTAAGTCCAATCAAATTTGATTATTGTTGTGTGATATTGAATTATTTCCTTTCAAAAGAGAAGTAAAAAACTCCAATGTATTCAAACCTTCCATATCAAGCTTCTGGAAAATGCACATCAAGAGATTAATGCTAAATCAATGTGATGAAGCAATGAAAATCTTCAAATGTCAATATAAAGGAATCAAGTTGAAGAAGAACATGAGATAAAAATAATTACTCGAGTGTTATATAACCTTTTATTATTCTTTAGCTTCTAAGTATTTTTTTGTGGGTGAATGCAACCTTTGTAATACTTCACTTTGTAAAATAACCAAATGAATGTAAATTGCCTTTTCTTTAAGAACATGAGATAAAAATAATTACTCGAGTATTATATAACCTTTTAGTATTCTTTAGCTTCTTAGTATTTTTTTTTTTGTGGGTGAATGCAACCTTTGTAATACTTCACTTTGTAAAATAACCAAATGAATGTAAATTGCCTTTTCTTTAAGAACATGAGATAAAAATAATTACTCGAGTATTATATAACCTTTTAGTATTCTTTAGCTTCTAAGTATTTTTTTTTTTTTGTGGGTGAATGCAACCTTTGTAATACTTCACTTTGTAAAATAACCAAATGAATGTAAATTGCCTTTTCTTTAAGAACATGAGATAAAAATAATTACTCGAGTATTATATAACCTTTTAGTATTCTTTAGCTTCTAAGTATTTTTTTTTTTGTGGGTGAATGCAACCTTTGTAATACTTCACTTTGTAAAATAACCCAATGAATGTAAATTGCCTTTTTTTTAAGAGTTTTCTTGTTACATGTTTTGAGTCTTAGTATGCTCATTATAACTATGAGTAATTTGTATGCTCGTTATAACTAGTTAAAAGTAATTTGTACACTCATTATATAACTAATGGTTATTTTTGTACTTTTTCTAATCATTAATTTGATTAATAAAATATCTTAAAAAATTGTGTCAAAAAGAGAATTAGACACAATCTATATGTTAGAGTAAATTGGTATAAAATTATTTTATATTGTTTTTGTGTTACTTATTCTTTAAGTAGTATAACCTAGTTATGTGTGAGAAGAATATAAGACTATTTGATCTCCTTTACTAATTTTATATATACCACACTAAAACAACTAATTTCATATATCTCCACTTTTATTTTGAAGATTATAAATAACTATGAAATAAAAAGAAAAATATTACAATAAGTGGAGTTAAGAAATTATAACCTCCTTAATTAAAGATAATGATAAAAAAATGTTAAATTTTTTTTTGGTGCTAAAAAGAGTTAGCTGATGACACTTGGTAATTTTTACAATATTTTTGTAGAAGATTCTAAGAATTTTTAGAAATTTCTTCAAAAATATTTGCTTTAGAAAAGTAACTCAATTTTTTAAAGATTCTAAAAAATTTCACTTGAAAGAAATATTTAGTTTCAACCCTTTTAAAAGAAATAACTTTTACAATTAATATGTCTATTCTACATAACGAAAATGGCAAGACAAATGAACTCAAAAACTTCATAACAGAAAATAATCACGAATAAGCAACTTAGATGTTAATTAGATGATGTAAATATCTTTAAAATAAAAATAGTTGGCAGAAAATGTTATTTTTTAAGTTTATAACTCTGTTTAAGTATACATTATTTTGTATCATATTTTTAACTTATTCATTAATTTTAAATATTTAGTATTAGTAACCATAATAATTTGAAAATAGATGGTCTGGTAAGAAGCTTTGTACAACCAAACATATACTTCAATTTCTAACGTGATGCTGAAAGAAGATAAATATCCAGAAAGAATCTACCAGCACAAGGGAATAACGAAACTATTACATGAAGCCTAATACCAGTACTAGTGCAAGTTACTCATTTTGTATAGTTTATGAGTTGGCTATTAGTACTAAACAAGTGGTGATTCCACTGTGAAAAATTAGCACAAAAAATGCAATGAAATGGGCTCCAATATATTTATAGAGAAACAACTTCGGTTCATATAAAGTAAAGCCTAAATGAAAAAAAGGGTAACACACAAACCAGGATGATACAACGCTTACAGAGCTTCATTAAACTTGAGGGAAAATAGCTGAAAGGGAGCAACACTGGATGCTCTGGAGTCAGGGAAAATTTATTTCGTTGTCATCTTCTTTCTCATTACTGTCATCATCATTGTCATCATCATCATCTTCATAGTCTGATTCCAAGTAATACCTAACATGTTCATCTGATTCTAGTCCCAAGTGATCCCTCATGGCCATGGCTTCATCTGACCCTGATAGTAAGTAATTTTTAAGGACTTCCCGGTAATCATCAGGGTCGTGCCACCAAGTTGGGGTATTCAGAATGGCCTCCTCCAACCAAAACTCGCTGTCCTCATCTTCCTCTTCTTTCGGTGCCGTCAGGGTATTGTAGATTAGACCACATTGATACATGGCATTCTTCAGTCGAACACTCTGAGATCCACCGAATAGATACCTGATATAGTCTCTAGCTAGCTTTGTGATTTCCTCGCCAGTGATGATATAAATGTACTGCAAAAAGCATACGTAAGAAATGAGGAATGGCATGTCCTATTAACTTCTAATCATTTTTCATGTCCAAGGTGACTCTAGTATCAGAAGTTTGCACATGGACTTCTAGTGCAAACTTAAAAGCCTACTGCATTCTCAAGTACTTCTGCAATTACCTACTTCTATCATTATTCTGCATCATACACCAGTGCAACTTGTAGGTCTTCTTTCATTAATAATACACATCACAATATGATTTTCTTTTTCCTCATGTTATTCCCACCTAAACTTAAACTTCCCGTTTTCATAATCTTCATTTTCACACCCATTAAAAAGTAATACTTAAGAGTTGAGCTGAATGAAAATCAACTTATTTGTGCACACATGACACATCAAAAGAGAGAGAGAGAGTACCAGAAATATAAAGCCAAGGGTCGCTAAAAACACTTGGAGATTTTCTTCCAACATCCCAGCAAGGCTTTCATCCTCTGAATCACCAGAGCCATCAGGACTACTACCACCACTGCCACTGTTGCCACCTCCTCCTGGTGGTTTGTCTCCCCCGTCACCACCACTGTCATAATATTCACCCTTTTCAATTTGCCGCCGTAATACATCCTCTATTGAGTTTTGACCCTTGAATTTTCCTATAGCTTTCTCAATAGATTTCCATGGGGAATTCTGATTACATTTATAATGTCAGTAAAATGTACGAATATCCCAATCAAAATATATATAACTAGTAGAGTAGTTCTCATTCATTTCCCACAGATTCATGATAGACAAAATTAATGACTATTTTGGGCTTCAGATGCATTGAAAAGAAGAGAGTGGCTTCTACTCTATTCTATTCTAAATGTTTGGTCTACTGCTGAAAATATTTTTGAGAAAACACAGCATCCTGCAGCTTAGCTTCATCACTTATGAACACAATTCTTTAACTAAAATAGTAAGTTGCAGTAACTTGATCGGGGATTTCTCTTCGTGAAAAGATCATGTATCCCAACTATTTGATTACACTCCATCATTTCATATGGATACTATATACATGTTTACATTAAACCTTAGCAAATTATGACATTCTAACAACAACAAACTAAAGCGAAAGTCAAACTAACGTGCAATACCTCTTCATCATTTCCCATCATCCCTTGTTCACCAGCTAAGCAAATATGCAGAGGTTTCCGAGATTGTGAAATAAGCCGACATTTCAGGCCAAAAGATTGTCTTGCTCTTAGGGTGAGTAGAACACAAGAGCAAGGACCAAAACTCTTTGGTAAACCGTATGGTTTTGAATGAAGCTTGTGCAACTGAGATATATTTTTCAGAGAACTCCCGGGCTGGCATGCAGTAACTTGTGCAATGTTCATTTTTGTCAAACAGCTCAGCTACCCCCGAGTTTCAAACATAACATTCTACAATTTCACATAATCAAGCTTCAATTCAAATAGGTTCAGTCAAAAATTTTAAAAACTAGTTACTACCATTAAACATGCTAACAAGAGACATAATGACACGTTTTTAGCATCATTTTCTACAAAAATTTGCACAACCTTCACTGTCAACTTCAACAACTTACCAGCTCCCATAACCAAAACCTCACAGAAAAAGAACATATGAAAATAGTCATTACATAACGGCCTCCTTCCCTCCAAATAGGACCCAGAAAACAATTCACAACAGTTAGGGTTTAAAACGCAGCTTAGAATGTATATCAAATCAAGCTAAAATTGAAAAATAAATCCCTTCCACTAACACTTTTTCTTTTCATGACGTGATTATTAAAACAAACTCCCAAACAAGTGTAAGCTCATAGACACTAGCATTTCACATAATCAAGCTTCATGACGTGATTATTAAAACAAAATCCCCAAACAAGTGTAAGCTCATAGACACTAGCATTTCACATAATCAAGCTTCAATTCAAATCGGTTCAGTCAAATATTTAAAAACTAGCCACCACACTTCTAAACATGCAACAAGAGACACAATGACATATCTCCAGAATCATTTTCATCAAAAATTTATAAAAAAATCAAGCCCACATCTAAAAATAAAAAAATCCTTCCACTAACACTTTCTTTTCATAAAGTGATTATTAAAACAAAACAAAATCCCCAAGTGAAACATGTGGAACTAGTTTTCTGACAAATGAATAAGATAGGCAACATTGTAACACGCATGTTTAGCACCAACAATCAAAATTCTTATACCCAAAAACAATATCAACTCAAGACAACTATTTCTCCACAAAAAGAGTAAATAAGAACAAGGAATGAAACATGTCTTGAAGGAACGAAAGAAACCGTTACCTCAGTAGCGAAGCATCTGATGGCACACGCTGCTCGCTTTGTTCTTCTCGTCTCATCCACTGATACTAGAGAACGCATTGTCGTTTGGAGAAGGTGCGTGCCGTCGTTTTGTACTGGGTCAAAGGATAAATTACCCAAGTAGATCATGGGCTGATGAGACCAAGGCCTCAGGGTTTTCTTTCTCCACCCCTATCGGTATTTGAAAGACAAAATTGACCCTAAACCTATTTATATCATCTTGAAGTAGTCCGAAAGGTATGTGATATTTTCTTATTGTTCAATATTTTGGAAAATATTATTCGGCAATATTTTAAATTGTGTAATATGGAAATGACATGCGGATAGGGATGGGAATGGTAAAATGGGTTATAGTTTATAGATTGGTCTGCTAGTTCATCCACAATAGGGTTGGTCAAATTGAAATTTTCATTATGACAACCTATTTCGGCTTAACTGGCTAAATTGGGAGGCCAAAAATGAGACAGCCCAAATATGCTACACATTTAAAAATTAAAATAAAAAATAATTAAAAAAATATTTTTTATATTATAAACTTTTAAAATGTAAATATATTATATAATTTAATTTATTAACACTTACAAATTAAGTTTTAATTATTAATTATAACAAAATAATTCAACATGTAAATATAATAATTACTTTAATATATTTAATTAAAAGCATTAATTAATTATGATTAAATATATTTTTAATATTTATTTGTTTATATATATATATATATATATATATATATATATTAAAAAAATTGTAGGTTAATCTACCCTTTAATAAGACCAGTTTCAAAATCTAGCTTATTTTTATTATAGTACGTAAGTTTAGTTCCATCTATATTTTGTGGGTCAAGTCATTATTCATTTTGTCACTCCCTACATGAGAACGAGAGTGTTTCTTTAATAATAAAGACATCCAAATCCAAAAGTCATATTTACTTTATAAGCATTCGTTCAATTGTGCAAACAATAATAAATTTTTAGATTTGAACTCGTATAAGTTTTTTTTTTCCCATTGAATTAAAAAAAGTATTTAAGGGAAGGCTACAAATTATCTATAAGGGAGACTACAAATGTAAGGGATGCTACAAATGATCTATAGGGGAGACTATAAATGTCTATAGGAGAGGCTACAGGTGGACTACAGGAGTGACTACAATTCATTCTTTCATTTCTTGTCCCCACCTAGTTTAATAGTCTAGGTAATTAGTAAATAATACAAGAGTTGACTCTACATTTTGAAACTTAACAAAATGAGTCCTCGGATTGATATTCTAGTCATCTCTATACTACATTAGTGGGGACCAGACTTTGTTATGATTTTAGGAGACAAAAAATCAGTTTAACAAAGTTGTCTAGGACTTCTAGGACTTCCAATATCTCCAAATAACAGGTCATCATATTTTAAAATCTAAATCTTTTGCTAAATCTTCTCATCATCTCTTGCATGTGAATCAAGCCATTACTTCTTAGTATCAAGATGATGAGAAGATTTAGCAAAAGATTTAGATTTTAAAATATGATGACCTGTTATTTGGAGATATTGGAAGTCCTAGAAGTCCTAGAAGTCCTAGACAACTTTTCTTGCATGTGAATCAAGCCATTACTTCTTAGTATCAACCCTCCATCTCTCTCTTCCTAGAGAAGACAAATTCTCTAACTCTACCACTCTTTCGATACTTATACGCTGTACCAGTGCTTCTATCCAAAATATCTCGTATCTCTTTCCAAATCCAAGTCGTACAAAGTGCATTAAATGGACAAGATAAATCACAATCGGCTATGAATAACATTCCACTCTATTTAAAGTTGACTATACTCCTCTCATTCCCAACTTATTTAGTCCTGTGAAAAACCTAATCTCTCACTCTCGCTTTCATACTTTCTCGAATGCTCTCTTCAACTCTTGAGTTCTCATGAGAAATGGCGTCGAAGTTGAGAACGTGTTTCGTATAAGAACATAAATGTGTAAGTTCAAGTATAAATAAGAGTTAATTCAAAGTTCGATTAGTCAATCCCTACCTATATACTGTTTTAGATATACACCATTGTATTCCACCTTTAATATTTTACCTATGTCAAACACACAATGCATGCCTTCTAACTTTTCATAATACTTTCAATCCTCATCATCCAAATTGATTAATTCTCGTAGATGCTCAGTGTTAGGTTGGCTAGTCGAGTATAGGAGGAAGCTGGTTAATTGTGAAGGGATTGAGGGTGACTGACGCACTTTGGAAAAATGTTGATTCCAACTTTGTAAGACAATTGAAAAAGAAACAATAAGCCTCGACTTGCGATGTTCTTAAGGGATACTCAAGTTGACTTCTTGGTAGCTTGGAATAGAAACAAATAAAAGAACATGTTGGTTGTTGGTCGCATGTTTAAAGTCCCACACATAATCTGGAATGCACGCAAAACTGTCAAACCATTAGGATATAGCAAGTAGAGCAATACATTCAATAATAGTAACACTTCCTTCTCGAAGGTTGTCAAAGGGAGGCACAAACCTATTTTACAAAACAAAGTATTGTAAAAATAAGGCTTAATTGCTTTCTTGGTCCCTAAATTTAGCGTTTAGTGTCTTGTTGGTACTCACTTTTAAAAACGCCTCTATTGAGCCCCAATGTGGTATAATTGCATCAATCAAGTCTTGTCCGTTAAGTTAGTAGCAACAAAGTTAAATGATTGGTGTTGTGGCAAAACACTGAGCTAACATGGAAAAAGCAAATTTTTTAAGGAGCTTAGGTGGGTGTCCTAACTATAGTCTTCTTCTTCCTTTTAACATAGTGTCTTCTTCCATCTTTGGGAGGTTGTTGATGAAGTCTTCTTCTTATCTTCTTTCGTTCAGGTTCGTTGTTGCGCTTTGGGTTGGGGTTGGTTGTTGCACTTTGGGGTTGGTTGTTCCTACGAGGTGCGCTTTTGTCCTTGCGCGTATCTATTTGAAATCTTTTGAAACCTAAATAGTCGTCGCCGTAGAGACCACCCAAACACGAGCCTACCCCATTGTGCAATTAATAGCGGTGAGTTCATCTTCTTCGCACCCAGAAGCTTTTCCTCGCACAAACATGGTAGCCTTCTCCATCAAAAGTTCTTCGTGTCGTCACCTGAAACCTAGAAAAAAACACAAAAACATAAACCCATAACGAATTCATCTCTTTCTCGTGCAACCAGAAACAAGAGAAAACCCCCAATTTGAATCGCGACTTCTCCTCCATCAAGACTCATATTCATCTTCACTAAGATGAACCAACCTGCGAACCATGACAATCAAACACAAAACCAAGAAATTAGAAAAGCAATCAGTAGATTGCGCCACCATGAGCTCATTGCCAACGCTGCACGTCTTCTTCTTCAACCAACAAAACCCTAATCGCAAGCCATCACGAACTCACCAAGCCTCAATCAAAAATCCCCAAACTCCCTTTCTTTCATCAAACACCCTAATTTTGTTAACACCTAATTGTATTAATTAATTTTTTTTCTTCAATTAAAACCCCTAATATATCCAATTTCCACGTAACTAATGTCTGTCTGACACGTCAATCTGATATATCCCAATTAAATGCCACGACACCAATGGTTGCACAACACACATTCACAAAGAAGTCAATGTTATCGATTTAAACACCGTTAACCAGATAGGACGTGATTGGTGCAATTATACCACTTGAGGATGTAATAGAGACGTTTTTAAAAGCGGATACCAACTAAACTTTAACCACTGAATTTTGGGACAAAGAAAACAATTAAGCGAAAAGTTTAGTGAAAAGTTATTCGTTGGTAAAAAAACTATTTTGGATTTAGCCTAAAAATTAAGGATTGAATAATCCATTAAAATTAGGCTTCTCAAGTCTATGATAACTATTTCGGACCTCAAACATTTTTTAAAGACAACACTGATAAAGTTTCAACTTTTAAAATTAAGACTTAATACCTCTTTTTGTCCCTCTTTATAAGGGAAGTGTTCAATTTCGCCTTACCTTTTTTAAAAAGTTTAATGTGGTTCCAAGTTGTGAAAAAAGTGTCCAATTAAATCTTTTTTTGTCACGGCATTAAATATTTAACGATCCAGTTGACAGCGTGGACTGATGTGTGCAACGTGGTTGTTAACCTTCATAACGTGGCAGTGACAGTGTTTTTCATTAACTGAGAACGTGGCAGTGGTAGTGATTAAAATTCTGAGTTAGGGTTTGCGTATTCGAAATCGCGATTTGGGGATAAGCATTTTGGAGGACCTGCAAATCCAAATTGGGTGATCTTGAAGGTGAAATCTGCAGAGCAAATCCAATTCCGCAAATCAAATCAGGTTAGAGTTTACATTTGATAATTTGAAGTCTTTGAGGTTTTTCGATATGTTTTCATTGTTGTCGCGTTTGAGGGAGTTTAATTATGGGTGAAATTATTTTGTGTGAAAAGTTGTCTTCTTTTGATGCATGATAGTGGTCCCATAGGTCTTACTTTAACTGAAATTAGTGGTCCCCCGTTTGCATTTGCAGGGTTCGGGTAGGGATGTCTGATGACATGTTTCGGGTAGTGGTCCACCATGGTGAGACCTTGATCAAAGAAGTCCCCTTTAATTATATAGGCGAAGAGATAGTTAATTGGGACGTAGACCTCGATAAATGGTGTTATTTTGGAGTATTAGGTTCACTTAACCATATGGGTTACATGCAAGTAGAAGAATTATATTACAGTGTCCAAGATGTTCTAAATAAGGTTGATGATGATAAAGGAGCTATGAACATGATGAATGTGGCTAAGTATTTGGGGAAAGTGAACCTGTATGTTGTGCATGGGGTGGACGAAGCACATGTTGAGGGTGGTGAAGAAGGAATTACAGACATAGTGGAGGGTGTAGTGGAGGTTGAGAATAAGTATGCAGTGGATGTTGACAATGAGGATGCACATGATGTTGAGAATGACGATGCATTGAAGGTTCAAAATGAGGATTTACTGGATGTTGACAATGAGGATTGGTTGGATGTTGAGCATGACGATGCATTGGAGGTTGAGAAGGAGGATTCAGTGGATAATGAGGATGCAGAAGATGATGAGGTTGCAGTGGAGGTTGACAATGATGATGAAGTTGAGGATGTAAGTGAAGAAGCATTATAAGTGGATAATGAGGCTGAAA